TCCATCCATCCATTATCTTTAACCCACTTCTTCAATTTTGGGTCACGAGGGTCACCGGTGCCCATGTCCAGCAATCACTGTGCGAGGGACGGGGTACACCCTGGACTGGTCGCAAGTCCATCACAGGGACACATAGGGGCCGTTTACACGGCGCGTATTTTGAGTGCATCCGCAGCTTCCTCTGCGGTTCTGCTGATCATGTATATGATACCAGTGGCCCCCCTCTTTGAATCCGGAGGTTTCTGAACCCACCTTCCAGAGTGGAGGTTTTTTGCTGACCCCCTGCTGAGAATGTAAACATCTCCCACTCTGAGGCTTTGTGTTAAACCACATGCGCACACACACGCGCAGACAGACACTATATTTCTATCAACATGGCAGCGACACACTGCTTTCAGAACTATGACTGATGGAATATATTTTTAATCTCGTAGTTTATCTACGTCAGATTCCAGCTGCTGTGACAGACATCTGTGTTGGAAGAGACACAATCAGATCCAGTTCTAATATCACTGTTTTTAGAACGAGGCACGCGCACACGTCGCGCTGCACTATAACATAAATGTGCTAAATATCAACAGTTTAATAATAATAAACAGTATTTATGTTAAGTGTGTGAGATATAATGAAGCTCTGAGCTAAATGAAGCTAGCTGGACATTATGTAATTCAAATTTAAAATGATGCTAAACATATGATGCTTTAACTTGTTGTTACGTTGTTGTTAGGCACGCATGCAGGGGATGCATGTAAACCCAAAATCCAACCGTGTCAACGCAAATCTTACGAAAAAAACTACCCCCCCCCCCCCCCCCCCCGGACAAACCTACATTTCCCATCGTGTCCGTGTAAATAGGGCCATAGAGACAAACATTCACTCTCTCACTCAAACCTAGGAGAAGCTTAATTTGCTCATCACTGCTCACACATCACTAAACGTGTCCTCTTTCCTCTTCCAGGTTGTTGCATTACTTCCTGATTTCCAGCAGATGGTGACATCTTAAGATGCAATATACTGTATAGGTTGATCATCAGGCAATTTATGATATAATTCACCTCATCACATTTAGATTATTCTTAACACATTTGTAACCACTCTGATCATATTCCTCTCCTCATTGCTCCCAAAGGAAGCAAAGAACAATCATCAATGATAAAGATCATATGAAATGAATCATTAATCTCTATCC